TCCATTCTTCCATCCATCCATCCATCTACTAACCATCCATCCTTCTAGTAACCATCCATCCATCTACTAACCATCCATGGATACTAACCATCCATGGATACTAACCATCATCCATCCATTCTTCTATCCTTCCATCCATCCATCCACCTACTAATCATATATCCATCATTCATTCAACCATTCTTCCATCCATCCATCCATCTACTAACCATCCATGGATACTAACCATCATCCACCCATTCTTCTATCCTTCCATCCATCCATCCACCTACTAACCATATATCCATCATTCATTCATCCATTCTTCCATCCATCCATCCATCCATCCATCTACTAACCATCCATGGATACTAACCATCCATGGATACTAACCATCCATGGATACTAACCATCCATCCATCCACCCATCTCCCCGTTGACCTGTCCAGAGGTGACCCAGGAGGGAAATCAGGCTCCATCTCTTCAAATGGCCATCATCATATTCCAGGAGCTAGCTCCTTCCTGAAGTTAGGGCCACACTCTGGTGGCGTTCCCCCACATTTTCACTCTTACAATTTTAAAATCCGTTCACCTCCAAGTTTGAAAGTAATGCAGATGCAGTGCAGAGAGTTTAGCAAGTACAGATAACAAAGACATCCCTCGTGTTACAAGAAATAATCAGGGCTATAGGTTCGGCGTGTATCCAGCGATGTTCTCCTACACACCAGAGAGTGTTTTGATGCAATGTGGATGGGTTTAGGCTGTGCTTTTTTCATTGACGAGGACTTGCAAACCCTTCAATGTACCTCAGTGCTTTCAAAAGTATGCCATTTCCTGGCATACATGGATCACCTATCGCTTCTGTTGCTTGATGTGTGGGTTGTGGGACGTTTGTGCGTTTCTGCTGTTCTGTTGTTGTAAATAATACTCTTACAAGCAGAGGTTGACAGGGACTGAATGGTTGCATCCCTCCAGAAATTCACGTGCGGAAGCGCTGAGCCCAGTGGGTGGGTATCAGCAGGTGGGGAACAGTGACAGGTGACAGGACAGATATGTGCGGTACTTTGGAATAACGGTAGCCCACGCCAGCTCAACAGTGCCCCTTCCCAGAACCAGAACAGAGTGTTGTTCTCCCCTCTGTCCAGCTGGGTAAATGGAGCCTGGGGTTGTGGGGTTCATGCTGAAGACCTGGGCCAGCCCGGGCAGGGCTCTGCTTCCAACTCCAGCTGCCTGGTCTCATCCTGGGCTCCCTGCTGCCTCCCTGACCCATTCCCTGGCATGCAGTAGGAACGCCACTCTGATCCCCTCCCTGGAGCCAAGCAGTACTTTGGGACCCCTTGTTTGGACAGAAAACCAATGGCAACACCAAGCAAACAAAAGAGAGGCACATGCCTAGAGCATCCAGTGCTGCTGATGAGAGCAGGACCCTGCCCAGTGCACCCCAAACCATGCATCCCGGGTGATGGAGAAACAGGGAGACGTGCCCCAAAGTGAGAGCAGGCTGTTCTCCCTGGAAACCGATTTACCCAAAATCATTTTTCAGAAAGAGAGAGAGACAAGAAGGTGGGAACAGGTGTTGGCAGATACGGTGAGGGGTCCCCAGGGAATGAAAGACTAGGCACAGTTTTCTTATCAGAAGACATGACATAGGGTGCCCGGGGGGCTCAGTCAGTTAAGCGTCTGCCTTCGGCTCAGGTCACGATCTCAGGGTCCCGGAATCGAGTCCCACATGGGGCTCCTTGCTCAGTCGGGAGTCTGCTTCTCCCTCTCCCTCTGCCCCTTGTTGTGCTCGCAGATAAGTAAATAAAATCTTTAAAAAAAAACCCAAAAAACAGAAGACACGTCATTTTAGGTCCCCCCCAACCATTTTGTGATCTATTGCCAATCAGCTGGACCCACCCCTGCACACTTCTTGCAGAACTTCCTAGGACATCAGCATGACAAAAATATACAAAAGCTCAGTAGTTAATGATTTTTTTTTTTTTTTAGGGGAATGAAAGAATGGAAAACAGTCTCTACCCAGCCAATAGAATCGGAGAAAGGAAACCAGGTGTACAACTCCCCTCATTGTGTGAAGAGTCAAGATTGACCTGGTGCACATTCCTGAGTCCCTTCGACGGGGTTTTAAACCCCTGTGAGCTCCCCAAACAGCAGACTGGCCAGAGCCAGAGTATTGATAATACCGAGCCTCGCTGACCCTTGTGAGTTCCATCGCCTAGGACCTGGACTCTGACACCTTAAGATGACTTCTGCCCCGGGTCCCCCACCTCGCAAGCCCTGTCGTGATCATGCATACACCCCGAGCTTCAAACTCTCCCCGTTTTGTGGTTCAGAGAAGGCACGGCTTTGGGAAATTGCAAGTAAAACCCTTCTTTTTGCTGTTCTTTGGTTTGGTTGTTTCTTTTGACTCCAGGGTCACAAAGAGGAGACCTCAGTGTTGCGTTGCAGTGGGGACAGAGTTTTCCCGAGGAGATGGAGACAGGTCCCCAGTTTCCTGCAACCCGGAAAGGCCTCTTGGAATTTCTCCCCTAGACAGGTTTTCCTTTCTGCAAACTTTTCTTCTGACAGCCGAGGTTGTCTGCCACCCTCACGCCCTCCGTGGATACGGTCTTTTCTGTTCTGCTTTGTAAGTTTACTTTTTTCTCTGTCCATTGGGTTCTTAGGGTCCCCACTGAGACCCATTTTCCAGGTCAAAAGACAAAGTCCAATGGTCAACAAAGGATGCTCTGTAAAAGGTGGGAAAAGGGCCAGTCTGTAGGTTTGTGCATGTGTGCATGTGCATGTGTGTGTGTATGTGTGTGTGTGTGTGTGTGTGTTACAGGGACTGTCAAAACCGCTCAGACCTCCCTCCTATCCTGAGTTCGAACCCCATAATGCACGCATAGCAAGAAGCCTGCTCCAAAAGGAGCTTCCTCCCTCCTCCCTCTCTAGGTCTTGACATATGCCCTTCAAAGATCTCTTCTGCGGCACTTGGATACAACTCAGGAGGTTTCTTCAATTAATTTAATTTTTATTCTGGAGCTTAGAGCTTCTCGATGCTCTCAGAGCATCTGCAAAAGATGACGGAAATTTTCATTTTGAGCCAAGGAAGGTGGCCCTTAAAAAAAAAAAAAAGGCCAAGTCAACTTAATGAATTAGAAAGAGAAGTATCCAAGATGCGTGTCGGTTTGAACATAAATTAAAAAAAAAAAAAGTGAAAGCCTAGCTTTTAGTGCAAGTGACAATGCATATTTATGATAGCTGATGATGAGGACCTAGCCCCTCCGGGATAAAAGGCGAGACCAGGCTGCAGAATGTGCCGGAACGTTTAGGGTGGTGTGGACAGCACAATTTCAGCCATGGTACAGCCCAAGGGACCAAGGTTAAAGATTGTCCAGGTTTAGGTTTTATTTTGAAGGGGTGACAGGCCTGAACGGGAAGGTTCCCTGGACGGGGGAGGGGTCTTTGCATTTCGACTTTGGCTCAAAGCACCTGTGGTTTCTTTCGGGGTGCTGACCTACCTCAAAGTGCCAAAATGGCTGCAGCAGCTCCAGCATCCCTTTGCTGCCCAAGAAGAGCCTCCCGTGTGCCCAGGCCCAGGGTCCACACGCTGCACTGGCGGATAGAAAACAGGACACCTCCAAGCCTCCAGCTGTGTGTGGTCAGACGGATGCCTTTTTAAGTTAAGTGTCCCTGCACTTGCCCCAGGCGGACCCCGGGGGGTGCAGTCTAGCGCGTCTGACCTGCGCTGTGTCTGTCTGAGCCAGGTAGGTGGCCCTAAGGTGGCCCGGGGAGGAGGGGCCCTGACTCTTGCAAGGGTGAGGAGAGCGCGCTGGGTTGGAGCTCGCCGGAATGGGGGTAGAGTGTGCAGGGTGGAATGCAGGAATCTGACTCAGGGATTTTCCCCCCTTCTGAGATGTTCTGTACCCTGAAGGAACACGGAGAGAATATTAAGCTAACATTTCAATAATAAAGAAAAATACTGATAGTCTGGGACAGGGACCAGCCCCAAGACTGGGGTTTGGACCCTGGCCAGAGACCCACCAGGGCGCCAGCCGCCTCCCAAGGGGAACGGGAGGGGTTTCCTGCTTCTCCCCTTCTGCGTGCCCACCCCCCGGCTTGCGGTGGGGAGAGGCTTCGGGGAGGCTCCTCCCGGGGAGGTCCCTGTTGAGGCTGGGGAGGAGGGGGTTGCCGTGTGCCTCCAAAGCCCCCACCCCTGTTCCAGGCCCTGTCAGTTCAGCCTGGACTTTGGGATGGGACTGGGGGCTGCCCCCCCCCCCGGCCCCCGGCCAGGGAACCGCGGTTCCAGGGAAAAAGAGCATTTCTCTTTGCCCCCCTTGGAGGTGGCACGCGGTCCCCGTTAGGAGTTAGGAGCAGGGAGGGGGTTTACAACGGAGGTTTCGCCCCCAAGAACGCGGATCCCGTTAGGGGCTGTAGACACAAGGAGGGGCCCCCACCTTCTGAACAGGGAGGGGATCACTTGCTCCCTTCGGGCCGCCTGGGGTCGTTAGGGGCGGGTAGGGGGCCCTCACTTCCCGAATGGGGAGGGGGTCACCCCGCTCTGAGTAACCAGGTCTCCCCCGCGCGGGGCCCCGCGCCCGGGGTGTCCTGGGCTGCGGGCGGGGCGCGCGGAGGCCAGGGCGGGGCCACAGGGCACCCCCCACCTCTCCCTCCACCGGCCCCGCCCCGTGGGCACTGCAGCCGCCGCCGCCGCCGCCCGCGCGCCCCACGACCGGAACAGTTCCTGCGCGGCGCGGGGCGCACCATGGCTCGCCGGGCCGCCCTCACGCTGCTGCTGGTCGGCCTGCTAAGCACCCTGGTGCCCGCCTGGGGTGAGCGATTTGGGAGACCTCAGGGCGGGGGGGGGGGAGGGGGGCCTGGCGGAGTGCCCCGGGGGCGCCGGCCGGCCTGGGGACCCGCATCGGGACGCGCGCGCCGGGAGGGACCCCAGGGAAGGCCGCGGGGGGCGCCCTGCCGGAGGCGGGCCTAGGGGGACGCATTGGGGACCCTGGGCCCTCCTCCCCGCCTGGGCGGAACGCGCCGTGCCAGCGGGTAGCCAACGCCCCAACGAGGCGGCCTCAGGGCCCTCCAACTTTTTTCCTGGGCGGGTTTGGACTTACTCCAGAGGCGAAATGCAGCGTGTGTTTTCAAACTCAAACTCCGGTAGTTGGAGGCACTTGGCTGGGAGCCGGTGGCGCTTAGGTGCCCCCGGCCCGCGTGTGCGCCCCTGTGCACCCCTGCAGCGGCCCCGGGTCCCCCCCTGGCGCACCCCGGGCCCCCGGCTTTGTTTGTGCGCGGGGAGCCACGCCCTGCGTTCGGGCCTAAATTTGGACGCGGCTGTGCAGCCTGTAACCCCGCGGAGCGGGGGATGGGGGTAGTTTAGAACAACTTGGCGCGCTGGACGCGTTCAGAAACACTGCGTGCCCAAGCCTCCTCGGGGACTGGGGCGCTCGCTGCGCGCGCGGTGGAAGGAAACCTGTTCTCCGCAGACTGCCGGGTGTGCTCCAGGGGAGACTTCAGAAAACACAGAACAAGTGTCAGGACAAGGGGAGGCCCGGGGACCTCCTCTCCCTCCCCCCCACCCCCCACCCCCCACCCCCCATCCCCCCACTTTACGCCCTGGCGGCCCAGGCCTGTTTCTGGCAGTTGCCTGTTTTCCTGTCGCTCTCCTTTTAAAGGGGAAGTTGGCATGCTCTTTCTGTCTCTGTCCTTTGAAAAGGAAAGCTCGGATTTTTCCTGGGCGTAGCATTTTGAAAGCTTTCCCCCACCTAACGGTTATTTCCTTGTGCCACAGCCCTCCCCCCCCCCCCGGGGGGACGGTGGCCAGACTGTTAAGTGGACAGCCGGGCGCACGGCAGAGTAGTTTCAGGACCCGTCCGCTCCGAGGTGGACACGTTTTGCAACCAGGAATCATGACCCAAGGCCTGCGTGGTGCTGGGAATTTCCCCCTCTGTCGGGGCACCTCCAGCTGTGTGCTGGGGCTTGACTTTTGCGCCCTTGGCACCCTGGTTGTTTGGGGGGACCGTTTGTGAATTGATGTGGGCGCTTTTTAAATAAGCCCGGTGCCCTCTGGTGGCTTCAGGGGGGATTAAGCCTGGGGGGGGGGGGGGGGGAACATCTTGGAACATTTTACAGCCCGCCGGGGAGGGCCTGGCATGGCTATCCAGTTTCTCTCTTTCGTCCTGAAGAAATGTCCCTTCTTCCTTCGGCTGTGGCTGGTCCAACAGCAATGGGTTTGTTCCCCATCCCCCGCAATGGCTGTCTTTCGGCTATTGGTTCGCATGACAGCTGCTCAGAGGAGTTTTCATTGATCCCTCTGGGTGTGTGTTTCTGCACTTTGCCTTGAGCACCTCCGGTGTGCGGGGTTCCAGGGAGGGAAAGCCAGCCTCACGCCAAAACAGCAGAGAAAGGTTGGAAGGATGGAGCTTTAGTACCTGTTGATCTTTGTGAGGATGCACAACCCCCCCCCCCAACCCACCCACCCACCCACACACACAAACACAGACCTCCCTACCTGATCCTTCTGGGGTTGGGGGCAGGAACCAGCCCTTCCAAAAGATACAAATGCAGGTTTTTTGTTTGTCTTAATCAGGAAAGTGCTTTCCAGTTGGTGAAGGTCAGAACACACTTTCCTATAGAAATACATGTTTGGCAGTAGTTTGCACAATGGCTATAAAAGCCCATTGAGCCTGGGGACAGACCTTTGCTTTTACTAGCGTGGGCGGGGCGGGGGGAGGTATTTCAAAGTCCTCAGGACCCAGGGCCCCTCGGTTCCTGTCTTTCTTCTGAGATTCCCATGGAATGGTGGGAGGGATGAAGGCGACCTAAAGAGGCGGTTTCACCTTTCATGAAGCTGGGTCTTCCCCCCCCACTCCCGGGGATACTTGGAAATGCCTGGGGGGGGATGGGTTTTTTTTTTTTTTTTTGGTTTTGTCTTTTTATTTTTTTGAGGTGTGACACCTGGGGGAAAGGGTGCATGGCAGGTGGTGGGTGGAGACCAGAGACTCTGCTCAAGACCCAACCGTGCACAGGATGCCCCACCCCAGAGAGTCATGCCTCCCCAAATGTCAGAATGTGGGCTTGGTTTCTCCAGTTTCCTGACGAAGGCTCTGGTCTCCGCCTCGTGGGTATGGCTTTCGTGGTCCTGCCTGTTTGCCAAGGACACTGACTGCCTGCCCTTTGGGCTCTTATAAAACTTAATTGTACTTTGTTGACCTGTGTGCGTTGGCGCTTTTTTCTGTTCTCAGTTTAGGAGGCTAATGCTTTTTTTTTTCTTTTTTTCATGTCGAGATAGGAAAATACTGGATTTTTGTAGATTTTTTTTCCTTCCATCTGGATGACATCTTGGCTGCCTGCTCTGATTTAGAACAGAATATGGCTAATAGAGCAGTATAACCAATTCAACATGAAGGGGTCCCAGCAGGATTTCGTGGACGGAATCTGGCCTTTTTCTCAGGGGATGGCTTCCCCCCATGGGACCCTGAGTAGCACACATGTGGGCATCATGGTGTTTCCACCTCCTGAGATTTTCCAATGCACGGTGGCTTCTTTTAAGGGGAAAACAATCCCACGTGTCTTACGACTTACAGACACGGTAGAGCTTTAAGACGGATGTGTGTTTGGAGGCTCAAAATTACTCAGCATTCAGGGGGTGCCTGGGTGGCTCCGTCAGTGAAGCATCTCACTCTTGATCTCAAATCAGGTCTTGATTTTTGGGATGGTGAGTTGGAACCCCTCTTCTTAAAAAATAAAATTAGTCAACATTGTGGCTCTACCTGGGATCATTCAGATGCCCAGAGACTGGAGCAGTGTTTTGTAGGATGCCCAGCCTTTGTGGGGGTCGGAGAGACACACGGGACACAAGACATGTCCATGTGTCCTCATGTGCTTTGTTTTAATGTCTGGGCGTCTGTCCCAAGTGAATCAGCAGGGACTGCTCTGGGACATCCTTTGGTCCCTTGCCGACTCTTGTGGTGGATGACGGAGTGTTTGGGGAGGGATCTCCAAAAGTCCTTTTAGGGGCAAGGGGGATACAGTGCTTTGGGAAGTGCTTTCTCCAGACAGAGGTGCATTTTCTGAACTTCTGAGGACACACCCTTGAGGATGGGTAGAACTGCCTCCAAAGAACAATGTCATCCACACGGAACTTATAGGACCCAGTCTTGCCAACTCTTTCCTGGTGGTGGTATTTGTCGGGGAAATCTGCAGGGGGACAGGAAGGTTGTTGTTGGGGGTGGTAATTACAGGAGACATCTCCCAACCCAGATGGCTTTTCCACAGAGGTAGAAGGGGGCAGAACGCAGGGTGAGGATGGAATACGCATGAAACCCCAATCGCGGGCGATCCGCTGGGGTGGCGGACGCACACAGCAAGTCCTCCTGCTTGCACGTGGCTGTGCGCAGATACCCCGTCATATACGAGAGCGGGTATTTAGCTATTGCAAACATTTCCATATGTTTGACAGAGAACGTCTGAACGGAAGGGCAGGCCTTCCCTTATGTTTCTCCTGTGTTTTCAACGGGGACTCTTCTTTTTCATTTCTATTCACCCTGAAACCTTACAGTGCAGGGACCCACGTAACCCACAGGGCGTTTCCACCCCAGTTAGCGGCTGTCAGGATTCGGTTACGTCCGCCCCGCTGTGGGAGAGAAAGCCGTGTGGACTGTCGGTGATCTTGGTGCTGCCATGCTGCTTGGACGCCTTGGGTGGTTCCATCCAACACCAGAGGGATGCGCGTTCCCCTGTGTGCCAGTGTCTGGGACTGAGAGATGGTCACTCACCAAAGTTCTAGTTGTATTTAGGGAATTCGTAGTATCTTCCACACGCCTAGAGACACAACACTTCCCTTTCTTGAGTTTCTTGTTCTTCACTGGCGTGGTTGTTAGACCAGTTTAGGCAGATGGCACATGGGTGTGTTTCAGCTTTGTCTTGGAGTGACTCAACGTTGCCACGATCCCTCGTGTGCCCTCTCTCGCTAGCCGTGTTATTAAAAATCCCCTAAACAGGAAACCAGATACATCCTTTTTTCTGCCCCCACCCCCGAGTCGGTCGCAAGCCCGCAAACCAGTGTGTTTCTCCAACGGTAGCTTGGGATGCACTGATGGCCGAGAGTTCCATGGGCAGCCAGCAGCACTGAGGACAAGAAGAAAATTCACTAGAGGCTAAAGCAGCCATGTGTCTCATTGGGAGCCCGGCGGAGTGAGCATCCGTGAGGCTTTTGTTCCGTTTCTCTGTGTCTGGGTGGCCCGGGCCAAGATATAAAGCGGATTTATTGCCCTGGACGGCAGGTAGAAGGCTTTCAATATACTTGCAGATCCAAAGCCCCTGCAAATCACTTTCCTTTCTCCACTTGGAAGATTTGGATAGGTCCCCTTCGTTTTGGAAGGTTTGGATAGGTCCCCTTCGTTTTCGGATACATTGTATTGTATCAGGAACTTTGCAAAGAGGAACATAGTTGCTCCAAGGGAGTGCTTTCTGAAACAACATAATAATTGTAAGTCCTTAAATGAACTGCCCTCCGGGAGAAGGGGGCTGAAGTAGCAGAGTAGCTGCATTCCGATGCTCTGGAAGGCATTACTCATCCCGACACAGCACGGCCAGAGATTTCTGGCTGCTTTTTTTCAGCGCTGCCTTTGCCACGGCCCCCGTGTGCTGGTCTGATTGCTGCGTGGCAAGCGTAAGGGATGCAGCGTGGAAGATGCATGCGTTCGCTGGGGCGCACCATGGACCAGTGTTATACATGGACAAAGTATAAATGGATGATGTTGTCTTGAGGGCAGAGGGTCTTGGAGCCATGTCGATTTTATAAATCCTGCAAGAACCCATCTATGCCCGGTTTCCTTCTGAGGCTGTTAGCTGTGTTCTCTTAGTGGAGGGCATGGGCTCTGTGCTCAGTGCGAACGGAAACTGTGGTGTTTGCCCCAAACTCGGCACAGAGTGTACCCCAACGTACCCCAACAGGATGAAGGGAGACCGTAAGGGGAATGGTCAGCTATCTGAGGCAGACCAACACGGTGTGGCAGGAAAGGAAAGATGTGCTGGGGTTTCGCTAAGCAGGACGTGGTCGTGAACAGCTGACTCTCGCTCGGATCTGGGCTGGGTGCTGCGTAAAAGGCGAGGCCGCGGCCTCTTCCTGCCGGGAAACTTGCTTAAGGACTTGCGGCCTGGCTGGAGTGAGGTAGCACTCGAAGGGTGAGATAGAGGATTGACCGATTGATGACTGATAG